TACGTACCCAGGTCTCTCTGGTATACTTTTCCACACCCACATGGCGTAACAACAAAGGTAATTTTCATCTGACAAATGTTATTGCGAAGCCTGTGGCGCCCAGCCATGCTTAGGCAGCATGGCGGGAACTGGCTGTGGACGAACGCGAAAAACAAATGAAGGACAAGTCTCTGGCCCTCACGGTGGACCTGCAATGCACGTAGCCACCCCTGAAAAATCACATTATTGAAGCCCTACGCGGCATGCCTGGCACTGTGCTGGACGCTGCAACAGGACACCAGGAAAAAGAGGCATGTCAAGCCCTTCCCAGGACCCTTCATCAGACAGAAACGCGAATCTTCTCATGCATAAAAACGAGTGAGAGGCGTGCCACGATGACTGTTACCAGGGTCTCAGCGCGTGGGCCGGCCCTCAGATACAAAAGACATTGAGTCCCACAGCCCAAAAAATCAAAAAGGATACACATGCCCAGCTGGAACCAAAAACCCCAGCTGCCTTGGTTCAAACCCCACCCTTATCAATTACCAGCTGCAGAACCTTAGGGAAGCCGTTCAACATTTGATGTCTTAGTTTTCTCATCTGAAAATGGGGATGAGAATAATATCACTTAATCCTTAGGGTTGCTGTTAAGACGGTCACGTCCATACACGTAAAGAGTTTAGAACAGTGCCAGGCACACAGTACTATATGTGCATACGCTATTAATATGAACTCCCAACTTTTCAGGTAGAGATAAGGGAACAAATTATAAATAAGGGCAGAGAGATGATAGGGAGTGCTATTTCATTTTTTTTTTATATTAAATCATTTGTAGAGATGATCTCTCACTATGTTGCCCAGGCTGGTCTTGAACTCCTGGCCTCAAGTGATCCTCCCACCTTGGCCTCCCAAAGTGCTGGGATAACAGGTGTGAGCCATCTACCCAGCCTGAGGTGCTATTTTAGAGTGGTCAAGGAGGGCCATTCCGAAGGAGAGGACAATTGAGCAAAAGCCTGAATGAAGTCCAGGCAACAGTCATGTTAATAACAGGGAAGAGAATTTTTCTATGAGTTTGACTCTTCTAGATACCTTATATAAGTGGAATCGTACACTACTTGTCTTTTTGTGACTGGCTTATCTCATTTAGCATGGTGTCTTCGAATTTCATCCATGTTGTGGCCTATGTCGGAATTTCCTTGCTGGGCAGGGCCCAAAATGGCGGGTCATGCTTGGGCTAACAAGGAACAGCAAGTTGTCAAAAATGGCTAATGCAGAGGGAGAGGGAAGAATGGCAGGAAGTGAGATTGCTGATGTAGCCATGGGCTGGATTATATCAGACCCATCTAGGGATCTTGTAGGCCCCAGTAGGGATCTTGGATATTATTCTTTTTTTTTTTTTTTTTTTTTTTTTGAGACAGGAGTCTCGCGTGTTGTTGTCCAGGCCGTAGAGTGCAGTTGGCCGTGGAGTCAGCTCGCTCACAGCAGCCTCACACTCTGGGCTCCAGCCGATCCTTCGCCTAGCCCCTCCGAGTCGTGGCGACTACAGAGTCATGCGCCATCTTGCCCGGCTAGATTTTACCGCGTCACTACTATTCAGTTGGCAATTAATTCTTTCCGGTATTATCAGCTAGGAGACGGGAGTCCGCCCCCCGCTCTTGCTCAGGCTAGGTTTTGGTTGCGACTCCTGACTTGAGCAATCGGTGCCACTGGGCCTCCCAGAGCGCTAGGATTACAGGTGACGCCCGCGCCCGGGCCTGGGATGCGTTCGGATTTATTTTTTAGAGGCAATGAGAAGTCATGGAGAGTTTGGATCGCAAGAGGTGACAAAGTTACTGTTAAAGTACTGCTGATTTGATGGTCCTCCGAATTAAAATAGAATGACTTATAGTTACCAGCATCTCAGCTGCCTGGGGTATCGTGCCTTAGAAGAATTTGAAAGTGCCACATCTGAGCAGATTTGTGCCCATGTTCACAGAGCATACTCACCAATAGCCAAACAGATGAACAACCCAGTGTCCGCGCAATGGATGACGGGGAGTGGGACTAGGAGCAACAATGCGGGTACTGGTTATTCCGCATACAGACGGAACATGTCAAATACCTGAAAGATGAGGGACCTAGGAGAAAAAATCTGTGGGTTGCGTCGTTGTCCGGGCTGAACACCTGTTTAGAGCTAAGCCCAAGTGGGCGCTGTGCCTTTTGTGAGAACAAGATGAGCGGGGATGCGCCAGGGCCTTCCCGAACTATTGGCTCATGGCAAAGTCGAGCCAGGTTTTATTGCGTATGGCAACCGCGGCCCGGGACAAGACTCCATTGCTGTGATGGTAGCGCACGGCGATGACAGAGGCGAGCCAGCTCTCGTGCTTCTCCTCAGGGATCGGGGCGGTACGTTGTGCGGTGGCAAGAGCTTTCTGCGTGTGCAGTTTCTTCTCCAGCGCATCGGCTTTATGCGATCAGCCTGTACCAAAGTCATCAAGGTGTGGTGGGGTCTGGAGACAGCACTGAAGGGTGCTGTCTCTAGGGCGAGGTACTTGTGTCAGTGTAGTAGTTTGGATTGACGAGTCTCCGCTAAGCTCACGATCATCTGATCGCAGGGCTTCAGCTCTCAGGCGTTGGTGTGCGCGCGCGCGCGGCTCCGAAAGCCTGGGGGGGGGTAAGTGGGCGAGGGGCCAGAGTCCCGGCGCCGCGTGGCTGTGTTGAGTCTCGTCCACCTCGGCAGTTCCGTCATCAGAGCTTGAAAGAGAAGGCATCCGTTTTCTGGGTGCCTGGGCCGCCATTTGGGCCCTGCCCAGCAAGAAATGCAACCATGAGGCACAACGGGATGGATGAATTTGAGGACACGTGGCGGTAAGGAGTTGAGATGAAGGCGCCAGTCACAAAAGCAGCTGCAAAAGCAGGTTAGTGCTAGACGATGTCGCACTGCCTAGGTGGTATAAAGGTAGTGATCTAGAACGAGGTCAGACGCTCATTAGAATGAGCCAGGAGTGGAGGTGTGAGAGAGGAAATGGGAGAGTGCAGCTGTGAGATAGCTGGTGGTATAGTGTTTAAGATTTGCAAGTGCAGAGGGTTCTGAAGATTGGCGTGTACCTGCCCATCTAGATGTGTGAATCCTGCGCGCTGCTACCCACTAGGCTGATACTGCTGGTAGGCCGTGCGCGCATAGGATGTTTAGAGAGTGAGATAGTCTGGCTGGTCCGTTTGCGCACGGATATGTGTACTCACTAATAGATTACAAAGAAGACAGTTTTGTTGAAGTGGTTCAGATGAAGGCTGCGGGGGTTGAGCGTGGGTGTGGGATGGTGCCGTAGAGGTCCGCCGACTTAGAGGCCTTAGCGACGGGTAGGTCAGCCTGGCGTTCGAGGCACACCGTGTGAAGTGAGCAGACTGAACCAGCCTGGGCAACACAGTGAGACCCTGGTCTCTAAAAAAAGAAAAGCAAAAACAAAAGGGTGGGTCGTCAAGATCCGGAGGTCGAATGGGTTACGTCTGTGTGAGGTATATGTTTCGCCACGATTGTATGCAGAAGAGTAGAGGAAACTTTTTGCATCTGGAAGCAGGAGAGAGTGTTTCGTTACTCAACTGCCGATATGTAAGAGAGAGCTAAAGCAACTTGAAGTTGGCTTCAGTGAAGACAAGCGCGGCCAATTTTGTTGCGTTTCTCGTGATGTCTAATTGGTCAATTTTGGCTCATCTGGTGGGAGACGGGCGTTGACGCTCCGCACGTGATAATAGTTCTGCGTGGTAGTAGGTAGGGTACAGTAGGGCGTCTGGCGCGAGAGAGGGTCCGATAATGCGAGTGAGAGTTGTCATGATGCTCACGCACTTCTGTGGGGACCAGTCAAAAGGCTGGATCTGCAGGGCACGGCTGACAGACTTGCGGCTTCTCTTTCAGCTCTCCTTCAGCTCAGAGCCGTTCCTCTCTTGTCACGACGCAACTCTCTGTCCACGTGGGTCTGTTTAGTAGTTCTGCCAGCAGCAGGACGCTGATCTTCGAGTACAGTAGATTGGCTCAGCGCTCTCAGAAGCGAAATCCTGTCCGGTTGAGTCAAGAGGTCAAGTCCAAAATGCAAGCAGCATCACGTCCTCCAATTGCTCGCTGGCATAAATGAGGAGCATGCCAGGGCAGACCGTTGCGGACGATGTCTGGTAGAGACCCATGAGGCGCACGATCCAGGGGAACTGCTCACCGGGGGAGAATCTTTGGAGAGTAGGCCCACCACAGATCTGCTTGCGCCAGTCAAGTGGCGACTATAGGATGAAGCTTAGACAGACAATATGGCGTGGAGGTAGTGAGAAGGATGAGTTGAGTTGTAATATCGTAATATGTTTGAATGATAGCTCAACAGTGTGGGGGTAAAAGAAGAAAGAAGGAATCAAAGATCGAGTCTAAGTTTTCGTTGCCGAAGGCTGAGTGCGGGTGTCAGAGAGTTAACCTCACGGCAGTCCACGCAGTGTATGGGTGTTGATGTGTGCAGCCAAGAGACGCGACTGTGGGCGCGCCTTAGGGTCAACTCCTTCTCCGTTACTTGTGCATTCCCCGACATGATTTGCTGTGATACTCGAGAGCAGCCTCGAGGCTTTGCCTTGGTCTGTCTGGAGCGGGGAGATTCGGACGGTGCGCGAGTAATCGCCGCGGCTTGCACCCTACGTCTGCTTGAAGGGTGTGTCTTGTTTGTTTGTACCTTGTTACCAGCGAACTGCGGATGGGGCGGAGAATACGCCACGCAGCCTCTGACTGAATCGGGTGAGAAGTCTGGGTTCTGGCTTCCAGGTGATCTTCGGGTTGACTTGTGACGGAAGCACCTTGGGGCAGCGAGTCAGTGTAAGCCTCACCTTGACTGCTTCCTTATCTATAATCGGCAGCCATAGTATCTGTACATGCGGTGCAAGACATTTTCATAAAAGATCACTTTGAATCGCAAGCAACAAGAAAGTCGAGAGTTTGTGTGACACAGAGCTCTGCAGTGAAGAAATGGAGAGGAGATGGGACAGGAGTATTTGATGGCAGACGTAAATGTCAGCACATCCTGAAGCCAGCGTATCGTAGGCCTCTGGCCGGAAGGCGGCTGATGTGGAGAGAGACTCGTGCAGTGTGAGGCGAGGGTCGGAGATCAGTAGAGCGGTAGACCAAGTCACCGCTGTGCTTTATGTGCCGGGGCGTACAGGGGTTCTGCGCTTGAGGCTTAAGGACAGCAAGGCTCAGGGAAGAGATGCCGTTTGGCAGAGCTGCTTAAAAGCGACTAGACCGATACTGGTGCACGTAATGCATGAACATGCGGCAGTGAGGAGTCGCGACTAGTTCAGAGTGGACGGATACAGATGAGCTAAGCTTGTTTTGTCGAGGCAGCGTTGACTCTCCGAGGAAACTGTGTGTCTTGCCCTTGGTTTGCGCGGGGTATTCAAACATGTCGGGAAAGACCAAGGGCAAAACAGCAGGGTGTATGTGCATGGAAGCATCGACGGGAATGCCGAGGGAGGTGAGGGAAGGAGAGAGTGTCCCAATATAGAGCAGTCTTGGTGCTGGCGGAGAGAGTGGAGTGGGAATCTGGGCAGCCTTTGAATCCCATGAGGCGGGGCACTGATGTCAGACAAGATCTCTTCAGTGCCGGGGAACAGAGGGGGCGTGTTGTGTGGTGATGGCGAGTCTCATGTGGCTTGTCGATCAAAGGACCACGCACGTTACAGGCGTGAATGGCGCGGTCTGCTATCATTGTATGCTCTGAGAAGAGTCTAAGCGGATGCAGAATTGTGGACTTGGTTCTGAACGCAGGCTCGGACGTGCAGTGCGTTGTAGAACGTCAAACGAGCAGTATCGGCAGGGACGGGGATTACGTCACTGAAAGTGCATGAAAGGCCGAGTCGCGCCTTCAGAAAGGAGGGTGCTTCTGTGCTTTGTCGCATGCGATCATTTCAAGCTGTAGTCTGGTTGATAGATAATAAGAACTGGTGCGATTGCACGGGAGAACAAGGAGGTATCCGCAGAATCAGCAGGCGTGGCACAATAAGAGGAATGTCCTATGGACTGTTGCGCTGTGAAATAGTTTTCTTAACAGGGAGGCTGGCTAAGCGCCTGCTGCATGCCTAGGGATGGCCTACTGCTGGAACAAAGATGTCGGGTAGACAGATGGGTGCCCCAGCCATTCGCACGTGCGAGTCTGCGGCTTGCGTACGTGCAGAATGACGGGTGAGAATGCTGTGTTGGAAAGAACTGATCAAACGCCCCCTGGTGTGTGGC